TAAAGGTATCTTGTATTATTAGATATATTATTATAAAACATGTTTTAGTTAAGGAGTTATTGATACTTCAAGTGCAAAATGATGATATAAAACCTTGATAAAAATGCACTTTTAAGTACTAATCAAAAAACACAGAGGATTCGTAGGAGAAGGACATAAATTTATGGCAATTTAAGGATCAGGTGCAAGACTACCTCATGTCTATTCTGACGAGGATGTCAGACTCTTCTAATAGGGGTGGTTTGTTAGAGCTCTAAGTGTAAGGATACGCCAACAAAAGCACACTGCCTAGAATTCAGTATTGAAGGACAACTGTAGCCTTGCATAGGCATAAACGACTTCAATAGCAGCATGTGATGGTTCGTATAAGTAATTAAGCTCCTAACTAGGCATGGGTGTGGGGCTTAGATCATAGACCTTCTAAACTAACAGCAAACGCAACAGAAATTGGCAGTTTGAAGTGCCAGGTGGACATGTAGAATGTGGCAGTTATGGACATCCAGATCGGGATCATAGGGGCAGAACATGGGGCAAGACTGGGTTGTTCTATAAGCTACTAAGATCATGGGATCATGGAGGAGAAATTGCCCACTACTTAGTGGAAAATAGGCTACTAAATTCATGAAGAACATGGGGGAGAAAATGCCCTATTATGTCCTAAAAAATAGGGATCATGGATGTGCCTTGTAACTCACATATCTTTGTTTATAAATAGGTTGCAAAGCCTTAGTTGTATAGCATGCGATTCTATGCATAGTACATATACTTATATTATGTAATTCTTTATTGACAAGATTAATAAAAGTTAAGAGATCTTCTTGTATTCTTGGTGTGCTTTGCTTGTGTTTGTTATTTGTTTACGACAAGCAATTGTGGGAACCTCTTTGGGTGAGTGAAACACATAGTCATAGGAAACATGAATGAAAAGGGTGAGGCTAGGCTTAGTCTAGTGAGGGCTAGGCTTAGTCTAGTGGGGACTAGACTGCTGCATAGGGTTGGATTTTAGTGTGAAGAATTTAACCCTGTGACAATTGGTATCAAAGAGTAGTTGATTCTAAGATCGTGCAGCCTGAAGTCATAAAAGTTATTCGGGAATGGTTGATATATCCAAACTATTAGTGATAGTTGTTATTCTAGTAAACATACTAGTTATGGATTCATTTGGAAACATTTTGAATAACTCATATTGATTTTGGATTCCTTAACTTGATTAGTACCTTTATGAATTACTTTTAAAGCATGCCATATATATCCCTAGCATTTTTAGAAGATGATTTTTTTCTTAAACTCACTTCTATTTAAGGCACAATACAAAGTGTTCATTGCTTTAACATCCATAGAAAACAACTTCTTATCATTGTCGATATACTCACTTCTAGGTTTAGGAATCGCTATATTATTTTCAATCTTTGTAGGCTTTTGATGTTTATTTTCAATAGATAGCTCTAGATCATAATCAATAAATTAAAGATATATAATCATCCTAGCTTTCCAAACATAATTATTACCATCAAAGAGGGGTGACCTAGAGGTAAATGCTCTTTCATTTTGAACATTATAGCTAGTGGTTATCATTTTAGTTAAGTCTAAGCAAACTTATATATGTGAATACTTTTTAACATGGTATCACAAGCCTGCATCCACACCTCAAGTACCAATTGTATTTAAGTATTATATTTTTTTACTAATCCAAGTGAAAGATATAATATCCTTGATGAATTCACACCAAGCAATTTCACAACTTGAAAATATTCTCTTCAAAAAAAATTTTCTTGGTGACAATATCTCACAAATGTCAAGAGTTGATTCAAACTCTCAAGTGTTTACAATCATGTTATGTTTATAATAAGATTCACTCTCTCAAATAGTAAATTGTACAATTGAAAACTATAATCTTTATAGCTTACTCATTAGCATTTATTTTGGAATAGCTTCTAAATCATGTATATTCAAAAACTCTTATTTATTTTGCATAAAAGAGAGCTATATATATATATATATGTTTCCAAAAGAAACTAGTTGTTTATAGTCATTAAAATATCTTTGACGGTTAAAGTGGACAACCGGTTCAAATAACCACATCATTTAGTTGACCAATTCCTGTAAAATTCTCAAGTGTTCATCATGGATGAACAATGGTTGGCTAATTCACTTGATATGCTTAATAGGTCAATTGGTTCGATTTAAAAAGCAATTTTGACAGTTTTAAACTTGAATTGATTAAAATTATATCAATCTTATTTATATATGCAGTGTGAAGTGTATGAGTTCATTGTAGTTTGCTATTGAGTAAGATTAAAGATTTAATAATAAGTATTAAAATAAATCCTTAAAAACTAAGTCTTCGTTTGCTTTGCTTCTTAGTAGGGGTGAACAAAAAAACTGAAAAACCAATTAAACTTAGAAAACCGAAAAAAAAATCATGAAAAAAGTGATTAAACCGATTAAAATTTTTAAAAGAACCGACAGGTTCGGTTTTGATTTTATAAGTCTGAAACCAAAAAAACCTAATCGAACCCAAATAAAAAAAACTGGAAAAAAACCGAGTCAAGCTGAAAAAATTAAGCCAAATCAGAAAAAACCAAGCCAAAACTGAGTCAAACCGAAAAAACCAAGTCAAACTAATTTGAACCGATTTTTATTTAAAAAACCAAAACCAATCGATTTGAACTAATTTCAGTTTGGTTTTGATTTTTTTAAATAAATTTGGTTGCTTTTTCTGATAAAAACCAAACCGAACTAAAAATAATCACCCTTACTTCTTAAACTCTTTCTTCTTAAACTTGTTGATGAATTTTCTTATTCAATTCCTTACTTGATATAATCTTCATATAAACATGTTAAAACTTAATTTCATCCAAGTATCCCATTAGTTTATTTTATTTTAATTGTTAACATCAAAATACATAAAATATTAATATATAACCTAAAAGTTAACAACATGATCATTGACAGGCATTATTTGTTTTTTTAGTGTGAATATTATGGATCAATTTGAAAATAAGGGTTAGGAAAAAAACTGAAAAACCAATTAAACAAAGAAAACTAGAAAAAAAATAATTGAAAAAATCAAAAAGTAAAAAAAACTAATTAAACTGTTTAGAATTTTAAAAATACAAACCAGTTCGGTTTGGTTTTGGTTTTATAAGCCTAAAATTAAAAAAACTAAACTAAACCAAACCCAATAAAAAAAAATCAACAAAAACTGAATCAAAATCAAGTCAAACCAGAAAATAAAGCAAAAAAAAAAAAACAAGTCAAATTAAAAAAACCAAGTCAAGCCAATTTAAGCTAATTTTTTTTAAAAAAACCTCATTGAACCATAAGCTAATTTAAAAAAAAAAAAAACCTAATTAAACCAAAACCAACTAGTTTGAATTGATTTTAAATTAGTTTCAATCTAATTAAACCAAATCCAAGTAGTTTGAATTGATTTTAAATTAGTTTCAATTGTTTTTTTTTATTAAAAACTAAACCGAAAAATAATTACTCCTATTTGAAAGGTGCAGAGATATCACAATTCCATTGCAAATTGATCCTGCTTTGCTTGATGTTCTGGAATGAAAGTTCTTGTCAATATGCTATATTCTGATTGGAATCCTAAAGATGCTGCAGGAAGATGCTGCAGGGCGATGCTGGAGTGGTGACCACATCCGAGCATCTGATCATTATTTCTTAATGTTCTAATTTTGGTGGACCACATGAAGCTTTGTGAACATACAGTTAGTGGATCTCACTACCAAGTAAAACAAAGAAAACACTACAAAAAATTATCGTTCACAGTTAAGAATTTATTAGCACCCATTTGAGTCAAACATGGTACTTCAGCAATATAAGTACACTTCTGAGCAATAGCTATGCCATCCACTCATCGGCCGCCTCTGGAGCACTTCACCAGTAAACTTTAATTACAGAGGTTGCACAAAACATCTGAGATCAAGGTCTAGCAGTAATTCACTAGGAAGCAAACATCTGCGATCAAGGTCTGGCAGTAATTCACTAGGAAACTTCAATTACAAATGGTTGCACAATAAATCTTCGATCAAGGACTAATACAAAAGTTCCTGCTACTGCCGTAGGCAGACAGTTCCACACCCAAAAGGGCTGCTAATTTGCCTTCAAGGCATCATACAAGAACCAAACAAACAGTTGCGAGCTCCGATCAGATAAAACATGCAAAAATTCTAGTCGCAATAGAAAAGCATAATTTTTGTTGTCCATTTTAAATAATGAGAGACTGGTAAGGATGCTTGCAAGTAACACTGTAAATCAAAGAAATGGAGAATAGGCAGAATTTTTTTTGAGTAAACTTCTGGATTGACACATTAAATTATTTGTCAAGCAAAACATAAATACCCATTAATGAAGAGCTCATTATAGTTAACAAACAATAATTAACCCAAAATGGAAGGCACAAATCCTCAAGTCCACCAGCACATAAGATAAAAAAGGAGGCATTCAGGGATAAAACTAGAACTAATAAAGCAAGCAATTGCACTTTGAAGCCAACTATTGGCACTTTCTAGCACTTGACCTCCTTCAAAGCATGACCAAAGTACAAAAACGTTGGATCGGTGGCACCTTCTTTGTAGTAAGCAAGGACCAAAGCACTATCATCATGCATGCTCTCCCCCACAAAGCTGCAAGACAAGTGCAGCCTTGTAAATACCAATGAAAACCATAGAGCATAAGTTGGGGAAAAAATTGAAAAAAAAAAGAGGACCTGATAGAAGCCCACATCAAAGCAAACAATGGATAAGAGCATCAATCAATTAAAAGGCACTTACAATTGGAAGTCCTTGATCTTTGAAAGCAAGAACTTGGTGGCTCCCTCAATGTTTTTCTTAAAATGTTCTTTGTTTTCGTCATCGAGTTTCTCCGACAACAACTTGATAAATCTCTTCATATAAGTAACAAACTGCTTCTTGTCAAAAGCAGGTTGCTCCTGAAAATTTCGACCAACCAAACTTTTTATCAACTTCTACCCCAGAATTTATCATTCAACACTTAAAAAACAACTGAAGACATACAACAAATCGCACAAGAAACTCACCTGGAGCCTAAATGTGTCAACAATGTCAACCACCTTGACAGTTTGGTCATCAACACCCTCATCCTCATCGCCTCCTTCAGCAGAAGGATTAGCGCCAATGTCTACATCGACAGCTCCTTGAACAACCCACTAAACACAAATCAACTCAACATCAACAACCTGAGATTCACAGTCTAACTAAAGCAATAAAAAATTAAGTAACACTAACCTTTCCTTCAACTTCCCACAGTATCCCATTCTCAATTTCCTTGTAGGGGAAAGAGTCCGAGAGAAGCTCATCACCTAATAAAAAACCACAAAAAACCACGTCAGTCCGAAAAAAAACCTAAATATTCCATGACTGACACTGTCCTTATCTACCCGCAAAAACACAAATAAATAAAAACCCATAAATCATCTTTACAAACAATCAAATTAAAAAACAAAAACCCATCCAAGATTTCAATCAAACCAAGCAACAAAATCGCAAACCAATACTATTTTTTATATTAAAAAATCGCATCAGGGTTATTAGATTCAAAATTCACCACGAATATAAAACTTCCATGCATAATAAACGACAGACAGATCCGATAAGCAAATAGAAAGACCTACGAAATTACCAGAGAGAAGATCTTGATAGACCAACATGATTGCGCAATGGATCTTCTACCTCTCAGATTGATCCAAGGACAGACAAAGGAGAGGGGAGAGCGAGAGAGACCTGGAATGGTTTCGGGACAGGATTTATTTATAGACGAGGGTTTCGCAGGGAACCAGGATTGATCAATTGGGACTGTTAAATTACAATAAAGTACGTTAAAGATTCTATAATGCCCGATGAGTCCTGTTGTCGGGGACTCTTTTAAGTTTCGGAGGACTGAGGAATTTGTTCTTTTTAGGGTAACACAACTTTATGCGGAACAATCCGACCGAAAGTCGATGAATTTTGCTCGAGAAAACATTTCGAGGAAAACTCACCTTAATGCTAAATCTAATTGTCTTTTAAATATAGTCTTAATATTTTCATTCAGAAAATCTCCTTCAAGTTAACGAATATTAATTTAAATGAATTAATTTTAATTTATTTAGATATTTTTTTATTAATATAAATGTATAATGTATATCTCAAATAACCTTATAAATTTTAAAATTATTAATCATATAATTTTTCAAATTTCTAGTAGATATTTTCAAATTTAAATTAATGATTCATAAGAAATACTTAAATAATATTTTAATATATAATAATTTGAGTTTATCATGTTTTAAATTTGAAATTTCAGTAAAAAAATTATTTAAAATTAATCCTGAAATAATTAAACTAACTTTAGGAAAGTGATTTTTTTTGTTTAATTTTTCATACTAATAGAAAGTTGGACATAATTTATGTTTTTTATTGGATTCGATGACATGTTAATTAACAATTTAAGCTGTAACTTGTAAACTTCTACTTAAGCACCGTAAAGTTTCTTCCTCGATCTCGATCCCTACCTCCTCCCTTGTCACAGCAACAATTCATCAAAGAAAAAGTCAGGGAAGAGAGAAATTATCAGTGCTTCCTCGAGCCACCATTGGTGGCAAAACCATAATCAAACTAAACTCCTCATCTTCAAGAGTTCATTAATATCAAAATCGGGCCTAACAATTAGTTAATTTAGGTGTTCTTATACTTGAAAATTCTGGATTTATGATTTTATTTTTTTGTTTAATTGAGTTTTAAAATTTAGTATTATCTGGGTGATATGACTAAAAGATTGATGTCTTTTCTCAAATGCAGGAGTGTCGAAGTAATAAATAACCCAGCAAAACTGGTATTGGACCACAAGGAGGTTAAATGTATATATTATAGATGACAATAACAATAACAACAATAATAATAGCAGTAGTGGTAGTAATATTAATAATAATAATAATAATAATAATAAAGAAAAAGAAGGAGAAAAAGACGAAGACGAAGAAGATGAGAACTTCGAGATGGAATATTAATGTAAGGATTAAACAATAATAATAACAAATGTCAAGATTAGAAGTTCAACTAATAGTATGTCAAACAAGTATAGTATAAACTCTTATTATTCAATTGGAAACCACACACAAAGGAGGTTCCGATCAGATTATAGATTGTTAACATGATTACATTAGTCATCTTATTCGATTAATGTCAATACTTATAAATCTCGTCAAGCATTCATGATTATAACTTATGTTAATAACAAATCAAGTTCCTCTTATAGCTTAAATGTCGGTTATACCATACAGTATAAACAATGAAAGTGCCAAGCATTTGTTATACCAAGTGTTATACAACAAAAACATGAAAGTTGTAGGAAATTGTCTCATCTTTCTTGTATAAAAAATTCAGCTTATTTGGACTTCTATAACTCCATATATGGGCTAAAAACTTAACAGTGATCAGGCTGGAAGACAAATTCGGGTTTTTTTGTTGTTGCTACAATTTGAACTTGAAAATTAAATTTTAAGATCTTGGGCTCTATATGAAAGTTGTAGGCCTATGTCTTACCTTTCCATTCATATAAAGCAGACCTAAATCTGAGATCTATAGCTCTAGATATGACCCAATTACCGAATAGTGTTCCATTTTGAACTACACCAGTATCTCTTTTCTAAATTTGGCCATCTCTTTGTCATTTCAATTTCAGTTCTTAAATTCATCACTCAATCCTTTCATTTATATAACAGGTCTGCATTTAAAATAAATATTTATCATAAATTAAAGATATCTTATATTATTAGATACGTTATTATAAAGTATGCATTAGTTAAGAAGTTATTAATACTTCAAGTGTAAAATGATGATATAAAACCTTGATAAAAATGTTTTTTTAAGTACTAATCACTGGCATTGCAATACAATTATATTTTTAAAAAAATTTAAATTTTTTTGTTTTAAATTAATTTTTTTATATTTTTAAACTATTTTGATGTGCTAATGTTAAAAATTAATTTTTAAAAATAGAAAATATTGTGATGCATTTTTAAATGTAAAAAAACTTTATAAAATAATTTCTATCATATTTTCAAACAAGTCCTTAGCCTTCGATAGCAATAACGCAAAGAAGAAGGATGTTGCTATAATTTTCAATAAAAGTTACATCCAATCCTTATGGTTTCACAAAAATTGCCATCAAGTCATTATAATTTCACAATATTACAAGTAGTTTTTTATATTTTAAACATTATTCATTAACAACTATTGTCAGCCAATAAAAGTTCATTGTAATTTTTTGTCTGTGCTATGTCATGGGTCAAGTAAAAAAAACTAATATAAAAAAATATGTTCAGACAATGATAACCTAAGTCATTTCAAGTTAATTTAACAAACATGTAATGTATGAGATTGCGATACCTTATAGAATGAAATGCAAAAGGCATCACAAAATTTAAAGGCTAATAACCTAATCTCAAATGATAAAAAAAAATTAAAAAAAAAAGAAAGGTAAAAAAAAATTGAGTCAATCAGGGTTCACTTTACTAACCTATCACTCATGACATCAGTTTAAGATTAAAAAATTTAGAGACAAATATTGAAGTTAAATAAAAAATATTGAAAAAAACCTAAGTCACTCTGGATTAACTTGATTAACCCACAATCCGAGATAACTTCATATAAAAAAATCATAGAAAAGAAAAATAATCAAGGTTAATTTGATTAACCTGCAACCCGAGATAACTCTATTTAAAGAAAAAACATAAAAAATAAGAAAGTTCAAGGCTTAGTAGTTTAATACTAAATGATGAAACTAAAAAGATATTTAAATAATTAACGTTAACTTGACTAACCCACAACGTAGTATAACCCTATAAAATAAGAAAAGGATAAGAAAAGAGTAATTAAAAGAATGAAGATCAAAATTGGATAAAAAACCAAGTGAAATAAAATGTTGAGGATAATTTAAAAAAAAAACTAAGAAAAGGATAAAAGAAGAGCAAGTAAAAAAATGAGGACTAAAATTGAATATAATAAATAAATAGAATAAAATATTGAGGGATAAAATTAAAAAAAATAAATAAATCATTAAAAGGATAAAAAATATCAAAAGAATAAGGTTCATATATAATATAAAAATTAAATAAAATCAAATGAGAAGTGACAAAATTAATAAAAAAAAATCAAAAATAAATAAATATCAATCAAAAGAAAGAAAGGTATAATTTAAAATAAATAAATAAATGGGATGATAACTCTGAATTTTGGATGACCCAACATAGATTTTAAGGAAAGGGAGAGAAAAAAGGAGGAAGATGAAATAATATCATCAGCACCAAACCACTATGAATTGGATTACATGTGCTGCTTCATTAGTTTTAACGCCATTAGACGTTTAGACGACATTATAATTGGTTCTTTTTAGCTGCAAAAAGACATTACATACGCCACCCGAAAAGCGTAAGCGGTGTTTATTTTTTGTCATGGCCTATGCACATGCCAACTCCTAATTCAAGTATATTATAACGAAAAAAACCATGAGAAAAAAATATCAAAATACCTCTTTACCCCTTATTTAAAGTTTTTGACTTGAAAAGAAATGAAGTAATTTTATTTATTTTTTTTAAAAAAAGTAATGACTCTCTTATCTTTTTTTTGTTTACTTTTAATGGCATTTATTTCATTTAATTGTGTGGAATAATAGACTATTATACCCCTAGTTAATTTTATTATACCAAATGAATCCCTTAGAAAATACCATTTTTAAATTATAGCAATACATGTTGTAATTTGTGCTTTTTTTTTTTGTGTCATGGTCATTTCTCCACTCTTATACAATAAATAAAATATAATAATATCTCTGTTAGTTTTTTTTTTGTTTTTTTCAATATATATATATATATATATATATATAGCCAAATTCTAAATTACTCATGATTTGATTTAGTAATAACAAAAATACCACTATAAAAAGACAAAAAACCATTCAAATTTGATTTTTTTTTAAAATGCACTTTGGTAATCCCATTTTATTATTATTATTTTTTATAGTTTGTTAAATACTAAATTGTCCTTCAAATAACATTATAACAATGAAAAAATCATTATGAAAATATAAAAACATCCTTTGAGACTAGTTTTGTTTTATTTTTTGCTTTCAATGGTATCTTGTTCATTTCACCGTGCAATTAAGATAAAAAAATTTATTTGCTTTCGGTCAATTTAATAATGACTAATAGATTTTATAAAAAAAACTTTAATGCCTTTGATAACTGATATTATGATTTTTAGATGCAAGGGAAAAATCATCATTATAATATTCATATAAAAAATATCATTAAGTGAGTCTACTATGTTTTCTTGATGCCAATTAATTTCTTTTAAAGGTGTAATGTTTAAATTTCATAACTATAAACATACGTGGAAAATTAACAATTCTATCCCTTTTATTTTTTAAAGAATAGCACTTTCATTATAAAAAATAAAGTAAGAATCAATCATTATTTTCACAATCATAACTTGCTATTTGGAAAAATAATCAATAACAAACAAACATTATAAAGGGTTCCTTGAAGCAACAACTACAATTCTACAATCATTTAACAATTAAAAAATATTTATTTATTTTTATTTTTTAATCATTATCAATATCTTTCGTCTAGCTGGTTTTATTTATTTTTATATTTTTAAAAAAGTTTAAAAAAATTAAAAAATAATTTTAAAAATTAAAAATATTATTTTAATATATTTTTAAATAAAAAATACCTTAATAAATAATCACAACTACAATTCTACGATTATTTAACAACTGACAAACTCATGGCAGGACGAGACATATAGTTGACACGATATATATTGATTAATTTGTGAAGGGAGAGGCCGTGGGACCATTTAACAGCGGAGGATTATTTCGCATGCGCAGAGAAGCCCGGCATCTTCAAGGAAACTATTTGATTGTATAGAAGTTAAGTTGAAGTTTTATTTAATTACACCTTGGTTTAAATTGAAACCAATGGAATTAGTGTCCTAATTATTAGACACGGGTTGAGAAAACTAATCCCTAAATAATTTGATTAGCATCCCAATCACTATCACTGGATAGATCAAGAAATTAATTTCTTATGTGCAGAAGAGTTTCGATCTAATAGTAGAAGGAGCTTGTCTTCTTCTATTATATCTGGGTTCGAGTTTTCATGTACGTGTTTGTCATCCTTGCGGTGTTTTACATGCCTACTGGGTTTGCAGGGTATTTAGTAAACCATGTGATTAGTTGTGGTGCACGCAAGCTGGCCTACACACCCACGTAAATAAATAAAAAAACTAATTCCTTAGTTAATAAATGATTAGAAAAATTAAATCCCCGGGTGATAGAATTAGTATCCAAAGAATTCAAATTGTTAAACGAATAAGCATCTGGTTTAAATTAATTTTAAATTAATGGTGATTTATGATGCTGGCGAAGGAATTGATTTAATGGATATTATATTATAAATATAAGAGCTTGATTAAGGATAAGTTATTTGATAAAAAAATGTTGTGAACAATTATATATGTGCATGCATCTACATGTCATGTTAGAGCATATTTTAAGACCCGGTCCAGTGGGCGGCTTTGTTTAAGGTTCTAGTTCCGGGTTTTGACCGGGTCATCAGGTTATTAGATCAGTTAGGTTAAATTTTTTTTTTTTTAAATCCAAACGATATCGTTTTAACAAAAAAGCAAAAAAATAAATAAAAGCCAATGAGTTTGTAATTGGATCTTGTCGGGTCAACCTGTTGAGTTACATCAAATTTTTTTTCTTATTTTTTTTCAATCTAACTTAATTTTGATCTCAGGTTAGCCGAGTTTCAGTTCAATCTATCAAACTAAATCAGGTTTCAAAACTACATAGACTAAAAAAAAAGAGAGAATAAAGATCTGTTTAGGAACGAGATTCAACGTGTGTTTTTAACAGGTTTCAAAACTACATAGACTAAAAAAAGAGAGAGAATAAAGATCTGTTTAGGAATGAGATTCAACTTGTGTTTTTAATTTTTTTTTTAAATTTAATATGATTTATATATTTTTGATCGTTTTAATGTATTAATATTAAAAATAATTTTTAAAAAATAAAAAAATATTATTAATATATATTTTAATATAAAAAATTATTTAAAAAATAACAATTACTGCAGTGACATACGCGTTCTAAAACCCCACCCTCGAGAGCCAAAAACACACATACTGGGTTTCTGTCAAATCCAAAGGAGGAGGAGAAGAAGACCCAGGAGTTTCCAGCCTAATCACAGACCTAGAAGAAACCCTCAACACTGAAAGCCTGTTACAATCTTCACTTCATTTCCCTCTCTCAACCCTCCAAAATCTCCTTTCTCTTTTAGACATAAATGACTCACAAATTCCTTCTCAATTCCTCTCCTCGAACTCCCTCTCTTTATCTTCCCTTCTCCCTCCTCTAACCTCTGTGATGGACTCTGACCCCACTCATCTTTCCCTTCTCTCCTCTAAAATATACCCCTCTCTTCCCCCAATTCCCCTGTTTTCACTCCTTTCTCTCTCTTTTCTGCTTGCTTCGCCGGGCTCTTAAGTCCTCTCGCTCCTCCTCCTCGGGCCCATTAGCAGGAAACCCTTCGGGTTCCAATCGAGAGGTTAAGAAGTGAAAAGAGAGGAAAAGAGGAGGGATTGTCATGTGTAATAATGGAGGTAGTGATGGGGATAAGGGAAAGGAGAGGGAGGATTTTTTTACATGAGAGTGTTTTCGGGTGTTCTTGAGAGGTTAGTTTTTGTTTTGGACTTGATTCACTTGAACAGGTTTCCTGATAGCTTGAAGTCTTTGGTTCATACTGCAGTGGGAGTTCCGGTTTTAGTGATTAGCAGGGAAATGGGAGGAGGGTTTGAGAGACTGGCTGGTTTGGGTTCGAGGGTTTTGTGTCACGTCTTTATCAGAACATGGAGAGGAAGGGAAGCAGTGGTGGAGGTTTTGAAGGCGTTAGCGGTGTTGATTTTGTTGGGGAAATCGCAAGCGAGGAGCTTTGCGTTGGGATTTGTGAAGATTTTGATGGTGGGTGTGGAGTAAAGAAGTGACGGGTTTAAGAAGGCGGTGGTGAATTTGCCACGGTATTTGGCTCAAATGGCGCCAGAGAAGGGCGGAACCTAGAGGGTTCGCAGTTGAGGCGATAATGGAGATTGCTAAACTAATGGAGTTGGAGGATCAGGTAGGGTTTGTTGAGTATGCGGTGAAAATGACACAAGGGAAGGCCAATCTTAGACTCTTGGGAGTGGATTTGATCTTGAATTTAATTATGCTGTTAAAAGATGCGTTAGTTGAGGTGGATTTGGATTGTGAAGTGAGGAATTCCTGCGGTTTTAAATGCGTGGAGGCATTGATTCAGCGTTGCATGGATTCGAGCTCGTGCACTGTCTACTTTGGCCCAGTTAGTGGGGTTTTGGTCGAGTGATGATAAATATCGTGATGTTTTGAAGGAAGTAATGGGGTTTGGAGGAGTGGAGGTGGAAGGTGGGTTAAATGATATTTTGGGGAAAAGGTGTACGAGTGACAAGGCGAATGTTAGGAGGGCTGATCCGCTTGTGAGCATACGCAAAGCCACAATTTCAGCTCTGTCTGAGGTCAGTCTACTCTTGTGCTTGTAATGTTTCCGCGTTTAACTATTGTTTGTAATTTGTTGCCATGTAAAATACGATACCCTATCGCGCCTATCTAATTTGGTGTGTCTCCTCTTGATCAGTTTGTTTGCTTCTTCTTTTTTTTCCCTTGTAAAATGTTGCATATGCTCTTTTGTGCATTTTCTCTTTCTTATCCTATGTTCTTCATTGATATTGTAGGCTTTCAGAACATTTTCAGATGAAAGTGTGAATATTGAGCGGCTGCATTCTGTGCCAGGTTTAATAACAGATAACGAAACTAGTATCCAAGAAGAATGCGAGAATTGTTCTTGGAACTGGTGTTGGATCGCATTTCCAGTGCAGTATCTGAGAGTACAATACACAACCAGCCCTCTTGCTCTAATTCTACTGTTAAAGTGAAAGGTATAGAGAGGGAGATTGAGTCGCTGTTTCCAGGAGTCCTGGTGCTTTTGAAAGAGATCTGCAATGGAGAGGTTACACCTTGGGTGAAAAAAATCTGCACAAGTTTGGGTAATAAGAAACGACTGAAGCCTAAAATTGCTACGGCATTACAAAATATCATAAAGACATCGGAGTCTCATTGGTTGAGCAAGTCCGTGCCGATAGAGAACTGGACAGCCCCACCTGGTGCTTGGTTTCTTCTATCAGAGGTGTCAGCATACCTATCAAAAGCTGTCAACTGGGAGCTCCTCCATTATTCTTGGCAGATCCGTGACAAGTACAGAGCAGCAGTTGAGTTTAAGAGTCCATATCCATATCCTAAAGAATTTGTGCATGAAGATGTAGATGACATTGAATCCAATTCCATTGCATGGGCTGGGGCTCGTGTTTCTCTCATGCAAACAATATCAAATGTTTCTGTTGAGCTGCCCCCCGAACCTGCAGCAGAGTTAGGTCATAACTTGCTCAGATGAATCGAAGAGTTCAACATGCATTCAACAGAGGTATCTATACTAGCATATGCAGGATGCTGTATAGGGGAATCTTCTTTTCCGTTCTCTCCTGTCAGTGTCGTTCTTGGGATATACATTAGTCGCCATGCTGGATTTCTAATAAATACGAAAACCTATGGTACTTTCCTGCCGCATTCTTGTGACGTGTAAAATGATGGTTATCGCTGGCAATTACAGGAATCTTAACATCTAGTTTAGAAGGAATTCACTATATTGGAGTTGTGTTGCATGATTCTTGAACAATAATAGAGCTAATAAAGCAACACCGTTGGAGCAGCATCTTTGTTTCTTCCCCTCACTTCAGTACTCCATAAAACCACACCCCATAAAACTTCAGAAAGAGCTAATTTAGGACATGAAAAAAATATGAAACATCCAAGGAAAAGTCAACAGCTGCGGAGATTGTTGCCACCATGCCAAACCACAGCAGCTTTCTTTCACCTGGGGCTTCTAAGCCTTCAAGTGGAACAGAGTCAGCGGTAGCAAATGCAGCTGCTGAAGCTGGAGTCAGGTCTGTCCATGGAGAAGTTAACAGAGGAACAGCAACACCATCATTTAGTTCCCTTGGTAGAGGCCTGCCTAACCCGTAACTCGAGACTTTCTACTCTCAAGCCGGGTTTAAGAACTATGATCCCTCCACTCCCCTAGACCACGCCGACTCTACATCTGACACGTCATTTTTTTTTAATGGAGTCACCTTCTTAACTGTAAACCAATAAATAAAACTGATCTGATATAACCTCCGCGTCTCTCTTGGATCAACAAGTCAGTACTTTTATAACACTGACAAAGCCTCCTAGTCTCTCTCGGATTAATCTCCCAGCTTTCCTACTGTACTGCGAATTTATCTAATATATATAGACAGACAGACAGATATAATTATTCCTGAGAGTCTAAGCAACTACTATAATTGATGAGTGAGGAGTCTAGAATCTAGATCACAGGGCTTGCTACACAAAAACTCTTGGTCATTTTACTGGGCTTCGTTATGTGGTCGTGAACTCGTGATAGCATCATAGCACTTCTGTCAACAGGGTTTTCGATTGAGTGGGGAGTATGCATGAGGGAGAGCTTTTACATGAAAGTAAAGAATAAGCCGGACAAGAGGTGATGGCTTGAAGACAAGCGATAATGTGGTCATCAAAAACATGATGTTGCTGTTTCTGCATATAGAGGTAACTGTCATTTAACTCGTCATCAGCCGATAATTATAACTTTTTTTTTTTTAAAAAAAATATCAGGTATATAGGTTATTTTAATGTATATTTTACATTTAAAAAATTCATAATAAAAATTAAAAAGCTAAGTAAAATCAAGATATTTTATAACATAAAATAAAATATGTATGCAACTGTATTTATTAAATTTATTTATTTAAATAAATAAAATATAAATATTTATCTTAAAAAACCATGATTTAAAAAATAAATACAAATAAAACTATGTGAATAAACTTACTTTATAAAAAATATTATGCAAGGCTGAATACAATATAATTTTTTAAAAATATTTTTTATTTAAAAAAATAGACTTCATTTAGAATAATACATTAAAAAATAAAATAGAAACAGAATAGCTAAAAAAAAAACTTCTATTTAAAAAAAAGAAGCAACGATCATGGTCTAAGTCATGAGACCGGGATAAATTTAAATAAGAAAACTTAAAAATAATTACAAAACTAATATTAAAAAAAAAGTAGAATAATAAGATGGTACGAAGCTGAATTTCTAATAAATTAAATATCAAAAGATGAAAAAATTATATAAAAGGATAGAAGAAAAAAAAGAGGGTGAGAAAAAACATTAATTAGAAGGACAAAAAAATTTAATTGGAGGGTTTAATGGAATTGAAAAATAGCTTTAATAAAAGAAAAAAATTAAAAGAATAAGGGGCAAATTAAAAAAAATAAAAAAGTTTTTTTTTATTTAAGGATGAAATTGAAAGGAAAAAAACTTCAACAAAAGTGCCGAGGATAAAATTAAAAATTTTAAAAAATAAGGACTAAAATAAAAAACCAAACATATGAGAAATTACAATTGAAGAACTAAATTGAAAAGAATAAAAAATTTCATAAATGGGAAATGATCGAAATAAGAAATTAATAGAATGAGAATTGAAATTGAAAAGTAAAAAACAAAGAGAACAATGGTGTACATTACCTGTCAAGAGAGAGAAAAGAAAGGGAAAAAAAATCAAATAATCATCAGTGGCAATCCAACCACTGTTAGCCGCCACGCGCCACTCTAAATAAAAGAGGTCATGTAAGATCCTATATCGACGGGTAAGGAGTTGGTTGCTGGCCTTATTAAGAACCCGTTTGGCTACATGGTGGCGTCCACGTTTCCTGCGGTCAAATTTTGTAAGCTGTTTGGTTAAGTAACAAACGCTTGTTACTGTATATGGGTCCCATGATTTATTGCATTTAAAATGCAAGAAAAAAGGAAACAAGCTGGAGCTGCTTCTTGCACGTTTTATAGAAGAATCATGCTCCACTGTTCACTGAACCGTTTTTTTTTTTTGCAAAATAAATGCAGTTAATTGATTTCACTTGTATTGTTCACGTAAATATGAATAATAATTTTTTTTTAAAATAAGTTTAAGGTGAATTAAATTTACTTGTATTGTAATCTCAATTTTATTCCTAATAATATTTTACTTAATTTTGTAGTTCTTGTCGGATGAATTTTATATATAATGAAATTATAGATAGTTTAATGGAACAATAATTTTTTTTTATATAAAGTATGATTTATTTCATGACATAATAACAATAGTTAAATCCACAATATTTAAATTAAAAACCATTAATATTAATATATATTTTTTAAAATTATTTTATAACCTCAATTTCAAAAGCACTCTTAACTAAACACATTAAACTATTTTTTCTTTAATCTTAATTTCAACCACAGTTTTAACCAAACACTTATTTTTTCAAACTAGCCTCGACTAAAAGTACTTTTTATAAAACAACTTTTTTCAAACCACAACTACAACAACTACCGCAATATCAAACACACTCTAATACTGCTGGTTGCTGACATGTTGTACGTGTTTTGGGATGTTATGCTTAGTGATAGGCTCGTGTCGCCAGGAACAAAACCGTGAGGGCGGAAGGCCTAAAACAGATAATATACAGCAGGTTGGGCTGGGCTGTTATATTTGGTATCAGAGCCGATTCAACAACTGTTAGCCACTACGCGCCACTCTAAATAGAAGAGATCATGTAAGATCCCACATCGGCTGGTGAAGAGTTGATTGTAGGCCTTATTAGTAGTGTTGGTCGCTGACTTGTTGTATACGTTTTGAGGCGTCAGGCCTAGTGATGAGCTTGCATTACTAGAAACAAAACCATGAGGGAGGAAGGCCCAAAGCAGACAACATACAGCAGGTTGGGCTAGGCTATTATAGGACACCACTACGCATCTAGAGAGACGAAGTAACAACTTGCACATTCTAGTGTGTTTATATTTATTTTCATTGATCAAGTGTGTAAAAATACTAGTCATTTTTTCAATATATATAAGAAAAGTCCCAACAACCTTTCGACAATTTTATTAATGAACATAGTTTATTACAACTTTTGCTGAAATCATATTCACATAAAATATTTACAAGTTTATCTTTCTCTTAAAATACATATATTCTTTCTGCATCAAACTAGATAACTCGGTGACCTTAAAAAATTGATGTCCTTAAAGATATTTACCTATGACACAAAAAATTTAAAATTAAATTATTATAAACATTTACATCATCCCAGTTACGAACATTTAAAAACTATATGATTAAAACCAATTTCATAAATCTTTCTTTAAGAACATTGATCTTATATTAATTTTTAATATTATATGATTAGTACTTAAAAGTGTATTTTTATCAAGGTTTTACATCATCATTTTATTCCTTAAGTATCAATAACTCCTTAACTAAAACATGTTTTATAATAACATATCTAATAATATAAAATACCTTTAATTTATAGTAAATATTCATTTTAAATGCAGGCCTATCATATAAATGAAAGGATTGATTGATGAATTTAAGAACTAAAATTGAAAGGACAAAGAGATGGCCAAACTTAGAAAAGAGATGCCGGTGCAGTCAAAACTGGAACACTGTTTGGTAATTGGGTCATATCTGGAGCTGTAGATCTCAGATTTAGATCTATTTTATATGGATAGAAAGGTGAGACATAGGCCTACAACTTTTATTGGAGCCCAAGATTTAAAAAGGCCATTTTCAAGTCCAAATTGTAGCA